AGACATATACATATACATATACATATATATATATATATATATGCATACCTACATACACATTCACAGATACATATACACACATATGCACATAAACACACAAACACATCCTACACACATACATACACACACACACACAAACACACATATATATATATATATGCATACCTACATACATATTCACATACATATACAAATATATACACATACACACGCATACAGACACGCACGCACAACGTACACACACACACACACATATATATATATATATATACATATACATATATATATATACAGACACACCGACACTCACACACACACACACACACATATATATATATATATATACATATACATATATATATATACAGACACACCGACACACCGACACTCACACACACACACACACACACACATATATATATATATATATATGTACACATATATATATATATACATATACATATATATATACAAATATATATATATATTTGCAATCAACAATAAAACAAACAAACACACACACACATGCACACAAACATGCACACACACACACCTTCACAGATATTATATATATATATATATAAATAATATATATATATATATGTGTATATATATACGAACACATATACATTCATATACAAATACATATGAATATGATGTACACCTATATATATCAATAATTATAGACTACTACAAAAAAAATCCAAAGTGAACTTTAATACGTTCGAATACTCTAGATTCGCTCACAAGATCGCGAAACATACTTATTCTGCATAGCCTCGATTCCAGATCCCATTATGGCGGCCTTGAATTTAGATGGTGGAGTGAACTTGACATGCTGTAACACAACCGCATAGCCCTGAACACTGGCAAACAATGTACAGCAAGCGAATATAACCCACTGCATCCTTGTCTCCGTGTTATTGTACTAAAAAAGTCGTGGGTTTGGAATGTAGTGACCACTTACAGATTATTGAGCAGGGAGATATTAAACTCACAAGGTAAGCCGGTTAAGAGCGAGGTTCTAAGTACAGGGGATGGCACGAGTAGTCCAATGTTCGTTAGCATTTCTAGACGACTCTGTACGATGGAATGATAGGAATTGTTGAAAGGACAGAGAGCATCTATTTTTATATTTATGTGCAAATATGGATTTTACCCGCAGATGTGCTGTGAGCGAGGGTGTGTATTGTCAATTGTCTAATAGGTCTCTTGGTGTGTATAATGTATTTACAGTATATGCACAGCCTCCTGTCTTTGGAGACAGTGGTATATGACCAGATATATGCGTGTAGAAAATGGCGTGGCGTCTATTATGATCTGTGAAATGAAACTGTACTGTTTTAGGTCTCTTGCTGGATAGATTCGCTGTTCACAGCTCGAATTTTTGAAAATGCAATAAATAGATATTTGTTGTACTTATTTGTGTATTTTCTTTTTTGTGATTTAATTTTTATTATTATTTACATAGAAGTTGAACTTTAATTGCTTCGATGTTTTTAAAAAAAAAGGAATCAAAATACAAGGATTCCGGAAGGCAGGAACCCAGAACCCAGCGTCTGTTCTGGGGAAGATATGTGTATTTTTATTATTATAGAAAATAGGAATATAAAAATATTTTATAGAATGTCAATTGGTGTCAAATGTCAATATTGCTTCAAAAACAAAAAAATACCGTTGTTGGCTGTAGTTCAATGGATAATCGGTCCAAAAATAGGGCCAAAGGTAAAGCTGCTCGTTCTGCTCTGGCGGCGGAAAAATTAAAAAGGTCCACAACTCGACAAAAATTTAATACACAAAGTCACTCTCAGTCACTTACAACAAATGAACAAACTGAATTTTTTAAAATACGGAGCAATCGAATACTCTCAATCAGAAAGTGCGAGGCAGAAGAGTAAACCAAGTATTGTACAGTACAGTTGAGTAAGAGATGCCATTGGCTGAACATTGATAAAAACCTTTAGATTTCTTCTCAATATTTTTTAAGAATATTATACAAAATTTTGTTTCTTTTCTGTTTTAAACTCCCCCCCCCCCAAAGTCTAAATACAAACCCCTAAAATATACAGTATTTACACCCGGCTGAACACCTGAACTTCTGAACTCTGAAGTCTGAAGTCCTGATTCCTGAAACCGAGAGAGAGGGCCCAGGGCCCCAGGCCGCAAGGTATGTATCAGAGACCCAGACTCGGTTCTCAGAGTTGAACTGCCTGAACAGTGAACAACAACAAGAGTGAACGGTTCAATCTTCAGGCGCTTCAGAGTTCAGACTTCAGAGTTCATCAGACTATGTATTTATTAAAATAATATACTATTTAAAAATAATACAAAATAATACTAAAAATACATACTACTATTTACTCTTAGGCGGAGAGGCGGGCGGGGTAACTTCATTTTACATTTATATGAATAAAAGACATGATGTGTGATTGTTGTCTACCAAACAAGAATAAATATTTACCATTGGATGAAAAGTTGAAAACGTATCGACAGAATGTTCAATTTTGGTTGTTTTAACAAAAGAGCACAAAAAAAATATAAACTGTAGCTTTTATTTTATGGTAAAAAAACAATTCTCTCAAGAATTGAGTTTGGGACTCAAGCCTCAAGTGAGTCAAGGCCGGCTCTCACCTCTCAAGTTTCACGGCCATGGCCCTTGGGTCCCTTGGCTGAGTGGCTGACCGCTGGCGCTGAGTGAGCTGAGTGAGCTAACCTTTTCTCTCTGGATTTGGGTCTCCAATCTCCAAAGTCTCCACTCTCGCGAGAAAGTATCGACTACATATCGACCCTCGAGTCTCGACACGACTCCGCACAAGAAGAGAGAGAGGACAAGTAGGCAAATACTCTGTAGTCTGTTCGAGCGAGCGGAAATCGTAAATTTTAGCGCAGAGCCGCAGACCTTCTGCCCTGACTTCCCTCTACTCTACTCTCTAGAGCGAGAGTCTAAAAGGCTCACACTATGTTTGGTAAAATTGCTGGCCTGCTCTGGTAAACGACGCAAGCATTGGAGATTGAAATAGAAAAACCATCGTTTTATGTACGGATTTTCATTTTGGTTGTGTTTGTTTATTCTTGGTGTGTGTTGTATTTTATAAAAAACAAGAGAGTCTCACTACTCACGACATAAAATACTTAGTAGATAAATACATTTCAAAAAATGTAATTAGAGCACATAGTGCCACATACTACATACATACATATTTATTTCTCTTACTATTTGTTTTGGAAAAAACCCGAATTGGGAATGGGTTTCTTGAGTATTAAAAAATATGTAAATATTTGATAGCCGTCTGAAAATAGAACAGGCTATTCAAGTATTCATAAATGAGTATTTATTTTCGGACGTGTCTGTTATCATTTTATTGTCGTTTACCAGGAAGAGCAGTTCATAAAAAAACATTCATCGAATCATCTGACTCACTTCTTGTAAAAAATTAAAGGTGCACCGACGAAAACATGAGAGTAATATAAATATATCATGAGGTCAGAATCAGAAGTAGAACCGTCAGAACAGGCAGAATTGACTCAATTGAGATGCTGCGAATCCTGCGAATGCCAAATTGCGATATGTATCAGATTAGAATTTAGATATTGTATGTTTTCATTGTTTTGATACATTTTAAAAATATAAAGTTTATTGCATGTGGGAATTGGGCTATTGACTAAGGACTATGGAGTATGGAGTATGGACAAAGGACTTTTATATTTTTTAAAGTACGACGAACGTCTGTACAACGAATGTACTCTATATAAATAGCGCTCCCCTCCAATTTGCGACCATTTATTGCATGCCGCGTAATAGTGTCGCTGACAAAGTATGTTGAGCGATTGCAAGGGAGAAAATATCTCATAACAATTCACAATGATATATCCCATGCCAGGCTTATACACGCTGAACACAATCACGCAAAAGTTTCTGTTCTCAAAGACAAAGAAACTGTCTATGTACAAGAATGCTACAAGGAATTTACAAAAGTCCTTACATACCCCAGCAAGCCAATGCAGTACAGAAGAATGTATATCCGAACAATCCGACGAAGTAGATGCTCATTCACACTTGCAAGTGAGCCCTGTGGCATTGTTTCTAGCAGAAAAGTTAACCGGTTTCCTCCAGTATTGCCTAAAATGGTTTGTCTCAGCCGATGTGTGCCATTATATAGATGACGGACACTTCACAGAGGCGTTTATGACCTTTGCTCTTGTAGCTCTAGTACACATATCCTCACCTTTGAAGGGTATATACGGCCTTTTGGCACTGTATCAGCTGCATCACGAACACAGAGAACAGCCTAAGCAACGCAGACCGGTGGCCGTGAATGTACAAACGTACGATGATATATGTTGTATGAAGTACTATCTAGACTTTGCCATATCTGCCTATGGATACCACACACTTGGGAAGTTAGGTGTTTTGCCCGCGAGTGAATGTAGGGACAATATGGGTAATGTGAGGGATACACTGAGGCAGCTACCTGGGGGTGAGGGGAGAGACATCGACGTTGTTCTCGAAGACTTGGAAGGTCAGGTATATAGGCCTGGGCATTTTGTGTGTGTGGACCATCAGCGTCAATCAGTAGTGGTTGGTATCCGTGGGTCTGAAACACCTGTAGATGTGCTCACGTTCCTTAATATACAGACCACACGTTTCAATAGCATATACGATGAAGATTTTGAGAATCCGGTAGAGGGTACAACGCACAGGGGTTTCCTACTTTCCGCACAGTCGTTAGATGCCATGTTACAACCGGTGATAACACAGTTACTGCTAGACCATCCAGGATATAAGGCAGTCTTAACCGGGCATAGTCTGGGAGCGGCCGTATCGACTTTACTCACGTTGATGTGGGCACAGATACCTTTGTTTCGAGAAAGGCACATACACGCCTATACCTTTGCCACACCTCAAGTTCTGTGCGAAGAACTAGCGCAGGCGCCGTTCACTATGAGACATGTGTCCACTGCGATAGTGGCAGATGATATCGTACCACGTTTCAGCAAGAAAGCCTTCAAAGAGATGCATCACGGCGTTATACATCTCGGAAGGGAAACCTCGATGGAACCAGGCGAATGTGGTACTAAGATAGTGAGCATCAAGTCCTTGCCCAAGGTGGATTCCGACTACAAACTCAGTTGCGGAGGACGTGTGTGGATGTTTGATTCCCAGGACTACCCAGAGCACCGTGCTGTATGCCTAGATGAACCACACGAGGTGTTTGATTCCGTGCTTCTGTCCAAGACAACACTCAATAGCCATCCCATCTTATCATACCATGCAACGATACACGGATTCTGTGCGGATCCCGCTTTGGAACCCACTCAGATCGATCTTGATTAAGCATAAGAGAAGCAGGTGCAACATATATATATATATATATCCACCCGGAGCCTCTTAGGTTTATGATGTTTCAGAGTAGCAGTTACAATTCGATTCTCTATCAGAGCATACACACTCAAATCACTACTCTCTTTCCCCGTCCCACTCTACACCCCCTCAACAGCGAAAACACGCATATTTTAGATAAAGCTTCTTTTGTCTTCCCAATCTCAATATATGTCTTCAACGGCGAAAACACAATTTATATACATACAGGAGAATAAAAATCCCTTGTCAGTCTACCTTTGCGTACTAATGTATCTCGTAGTTAAGATTTTGGACATGAAGAGTGACTTTGAATATTACGCTATGATTTTAAGAGTTGTGTAGTCAGACGAAGCAAGAGCACTCCATAGTAGGTTTTGAATTGTTTGTCGCGTGCTGTTATTGGCAATATATATACGTACATATAATATACATACACACAAGATACATATAATATAAATATAAATTATATATATATATATAAATACATATATATATTTATATACATATATATATTTATATACATATACACACACACACACACATATATATATATATATATACGTACTAATTTAAAATACACACACACACACA